ATCAAGCGTTCAGGGACACCATGTGGATTTGTGGCATTCTTCAGAGTACATTGTGTCTCTAATAAACCAATGAATGGATTAAACTCAGCCATAAAAATGTTTTCTCCTCTCTGTGACATATACAATATGGATAAGCTTTATTTAATAAATAGCTAAAAGCTAACACCACACACGTTACTTAAACAGGTTAAAAACACTCCTCATTCTTATAACCTGTTTAAGAAGAGGAGGTAGAGCACTTAAAAAAATGCGTGAAACTTGAAACACCACTGAACACTAACACGGGACATCTTGATTATGTAAATTTCATTTTGGAACCTATCTTTGGCTTATAACAGTTGGAAGCAGAAGAGACAAACAAACCTTTCCTATACTGTATTTCCTGACAAGCTATTTCATCTTGGCATTCCAGGACAGATTATTTCTTTGTATCACACTGTTGTCACGAGTTAGGCACTGGATAATGGATAGTTTTAAAAACAGTCCATCTGTATTTAGTCAATAAAGTAATGGTTTGTAAACTTACTCAGCAGCAAGCTGTTTCTTGAAAAGAATAGAAGAGCATTCAAGGGAAAAGACTGACAAGACTTGGTTATTTCCTAATGATCAGATTTTGTTCTTTGCGTGGTCATGCTTACTGCTCTCAGGAAACCTCTCATCTGTCTACAAATGACAAACAATTATTTGACTTAATTAGCAAACCCTGAGCCAAGTTCCTGTTCCAGAATGACTGGCACTGCAACTGGCTTGAAAACTTGCTTCAACTGGGGGATGTCCTTTCTTTGTATTATTCCTCATATGTCAACTGACTGCAGCAGTACAGGGATTTCAAGATGCTTAATATTTTCAGGTTCCTCACAAGAACAAACCTTTTTGGAGGCTCAACACATACGTAACATCAGCTTTCCACAGCTTCTGCTTGTCCCTCATTTCCAGTGGCGGGAGCGATGGTGGCAGTCACAGCACCCACGGTCAGTCACCAACCTCTGCGTTCAGATGTGTCTGTCCCCCGTGCCTCTGTGGCCCAGGAGACAGAGTCAAACCCAGTCACAGCTGTGAAAACCCACTGACCCAACAGTCACGGAGCCTTTGCTGACTGAGCGGGCACCTGGTGTCCAGCAACTGCTTTTGAAATCCCAATTATTTACTCAAACTTTTTCTTCCAAGATAAAAGCCCATCTAAGCTACAGTGGTGTCTCAACTGCGACTGGGAGGAGTATTAATCTACATATAGACATTGATTCCTTTGTTTTAAAGGAACAACCCCTTAATTGTCTGCTTTAAACATTTCATGAAATTATTCATTTTCTCCCTTACTTCTGCTTGATCTTCAAATGCCTGGGAGAACATGGTGAGTTTCGGTGAGGACCAGGCACTCCACAGTTTTCTCCCTGCACTCATTGTAGTTGGTGGAAATTCTGGTATCATCACCAGAATGCCTCAAGTTAAGTTATGTAACATAACAAGTACTGAAGTCAGGTTTAAACCTCAGGACAAAACCCACAAAATAAGGAAAAGGGTAAGGACAAAAGCAGGATGAGGTCTACTACCACAAAGTCATACAGGGCCCTCAAGAAAACACCAACTGGAAATTATCCTGCTCTGATTCAGAAAGCACGGTGCAGAAGAGGTTGATGTTATTTGTCATTTTATGATACTTTCTTTCATACATCTCAAAATATATTTGGATAAGCGTTTTCATAGGAAACTTATATTATGTTCCTTCAAATCAGCATATTTTCATGATCTAGTAATATTCTGTCCTGTAACATACACAATTATTTTTTTTCAGGAAAAAAAAAAAGAAAACGAGCTGGAGTTCCTTATGGATTTCTCTTTCACACTGTCTTAGGTGTAAATTTTAACCATTTATTTTAAAAAATGAAAGTAAACTATAGAATAATCAGGTATAAAAACAGATTACTGAATAGTTCTATCCAATTCCATTTTTAAGCATCTGCAGAGAATACAAAGAACTGTTGGTAAGAAAAAAAATCCGAATTTTGTATTTTGAAGTACTTTGATTGTAATAAACACATGCTGGGCATTCGGTTAAGAACTTTTAAACACCTATGATAAATTACAACTTATAATTTCTAATTCTAATATCTTGCAACCGAGCTCAAGAATCTTCTGCCACAAATTTTGTATTGCTTTATAGGGAGAATAATATAATTACTGAGAAAATAAGTTATATTCAATTCTAACTGTATTTCTTCTTTTCTGTTCACTACATACCCTTTAATATTTTCCTTTGTACACTTCTTGATAGTTGAGCTTTAAGTGAAACTCTGAAAAACAACATTAGGATTCAAAATACAGTGGAAGATTTTATTTTCAGGGTCACAAGTAGCATAGCGAGATTTCTCTCTTAAACAATGACACTTAGTATCTCTGTAGTTCTATGAATACTTTTGAAGTGTCATATTAAAACCAATCTCTTGGCCTTCAGGCAAAGAGAAGCAATTAGTCTTGGAGTTGTGAATAAATAAAAATCCATTTATATACCCGTCCTTGACACGTACCTTGCAAATCTTAGAAACTTCATCTAGTGGGAAAAGAAATGTTAAATCATGAACACCAATACTAATCATACCGCAATGTTGCTTCCTAAAACTGTTTAGTTTATATCAATCTTTTAAGTATTGATTCATATGTATATATTCTTACATATTGAAACAAAACAACAGAAAGGCACTCACACACTTGGGCGAGAAGAAAGAAACGAGAGCGTGAATAGAGAGCTGTAACGCGTACCTTTATTACCTTCAACATTAATAGAGGCAAGAAAAAACACAAAGCTCCAAGTCCATTGTCCTTTCCTCAGACACAGTAAAAACAATCCCGCACAAGTTACGTACCATGCGCAGGCTTTTTCATCCCAAGTGCTACTGTGCCTGCTTTGATCTACAAGCAAACAAACAAACCGAATCTTTACTATCCGTGCATCCCATTTCCGTGCAGCACAATTAAACAGTGCCTGTCACAGATGTGCTGGGATGAGTCAGATCACCATTTCTACTTTTCCTACAAGTGCAGTATTTTTAGGTCTTCTCTTTCCTCTTTAGCGTGCCTTAGTGCAGAAACATCCTATTTTTATGCAGCTCTGATTGCTGTTCGAGAGTCTCGTATTTATTTTTCACTTAGCAGTCAGTAATTCACAAAGGAAGTAAAAATTATGATGCCAAGTCATTCCAAAGAGTCCGCCCGCACCCCTACGAAAAGGCTGGTGAAACTCGGGCTGCGCGGCAGGTCACCGTCCCAGTGGAGCTCGTCCCCTTCGCATCCACTTGTTGACCAGAGTGCTGAGGAAATGAGAGCACTTGGGTACAGCCACCAGGTGAGGCAGCTGGCTGGGGACACGCTGGTGGTGTTCGCAGGTTATTTCAGAATAAAATCTGCCCCTCTGTGCCGTGCTCACAGAGGCAGAGAGTGCCAGCCTGGAGGGCAGAGCTGGGACAGTGACCCCCACAAAGGATCACACCTGGGCTGATGGGATGGTCAAGGAAAACAAATTTTAGTCTGTTCTGGATGCAAATCTCTCTGCTGACCTAGTTCTCATTCTCCTTTTCATTTCAGAAGCTCAGCTAAAAATCCATAAATTAAGGAAATTAACTGATGGAGCCTCCGGCATCTTTGTAAGCTATTTAAATCTTTAAATTTACAACATCTTCTGCATATATCAAGTAATTGAACTAACTGCAGGGATGTAACTTTAATGAGAAAATTTCCCTCTTCTCCTGTAGTTTGTACTCTAGAAGGGAGGAAAAAAAAAAAAAAAGCTCCCCTTAGGAGAAAAGTTTCTGTTTATTCCTGCCACGGAAGAAAACTTTAACCCCCCCAGTTTTAGGGTGTCCCGCCCGCATCGCGCCGCGGCCGCGTTCGGGCCGGCGCAGCGCAGGCGGCGCGGGGGCAGCGCGGGCGCGCCGCCCGCCGGCAGCGCCGCGCTGGGGCGCGGAGCGGCCCCGCTCCCTCCGCCGAACTTCCGTGGGGAGCAGCGCGGAGCGGGGGCGCGTCCCCCGCGGCGGCGCGCAGGAACACGCAGGCACCGGCAGACCCGCGCCTCTGGCTGGAAGTTGAGGGAGGGATTTGCCTTTTTAATTTTTTTTTTTCCCCCTCATTCACGGAGGGGAGGGGGGGGTTCCCTGCCGGTCCCCCCCGGTACGTGGGCCGGGCGCGCTGCGCGCCCGCGGAGCCGCCCGCGGAGCCCCGCGCCATCGCGCCGCGCGCTCTAATTGAAATGGCGCTTTTGGCCGGGGGCGGGCTGCCAGGGCGCTCCGCAATAGCACAATGCATGTCGATAGACGTCATTTGGTTTTAATGGCCTACAGGAAATTTGGCGTTTACAATGCGAGACATTAGCAAAGGGTGAAAGGGAGGGGGAGGCAGGCAGGATGGATGGCTGGGAATAATTGCAGCCCCCCCCGCCCCCGAGGCCCCCCGTCCGCACCTCGGCGGCACTGGGTGCTGCAGGGAAGGGGGGGTCGGGGCTATTTTTTTATTATTTATTTTTTAACTTCATCTAGTTTATCAACAAGTGCAGAGTGGGTGCTACCCTAATTGTAACAGAGGAGTCAAGAGATGTGAGAAACGTGCCCTGTGTTACTTATTTGGGAGCTGAAAATTTATGCCTAGTTGAAAATGCCTGGGGAAATATTACATCAGACCAAATGACAATGATTAAAATCAGCTTTTTTCCCCCCTTCACCCCCCTCTTTTCCTCCTTCTTCTTTTCAGTAAGTCTGTTGAAGGACGTGACAGTGGCCTGATCCTCCCCAACACCGAACCGTTATCCCCCGGCAGGGCCGGGCCGGGCCGGGCTGCGCGGAACTCCGCGGGGCAGCGCGGGGCTCCCGCCCCGGCCGCGCCGCGCGGAGCGGCTTTGCGGGCGGCGGCGCCGGGGGCGCGGGCCGGGGAGCCGGCCGCCTTCCCAGCCTTATTTCATTTTCAAGGGCTGTATTTTATTTTATTCTGGGGGGGGTGGGGGATGGGGGAGTAAAATCTGCAGACCTTCACCAAAAGGAGGGAAAAATATCCAATTTTCATCGCAAAATTAGCTAGGGCGAGAGCAAAGGGCTGAGCTAATTGTAGCCTAATCCTCTGCCCTGCAGGCGTTTGCAAAGCCCTGAGCAAGAATTCGCTTTTTTTCCTCCTCTTCTCCCTTCCCTCTGTTATTTAGAGACGGGATTATTGCCTTTCTTCTCATAACAGCCTCGGCAGTTTCATTTAAAGGCTTTTTTTTCCCCCTCTCTCACACACACATACACACACACACGCACAAAATAAATAGAAAAAGAAGCAGCAAAAGCAGGGGAAGAGCGAGGAGACAGAGAAGCTTTAAAAATAATAATAATCACAGCAGGATCTGCGGAGCAAAGATAGTAATAAAAGCAAAAAGCTGAGCCCATCCACACACAGCCCCGGCAGAGCCCAAAGCCAAAGGGGGGCTCGCAGATCTCTTCTGTGCTCAAGGTAAGGACCTCGGCAGCGGCTCCCGCAGCTGCCCGTGCGCCCGCCCGTGCGGGGCCGGAGCGCGCCGTGCCGTGCCGTGCCGTGCGCGCCGTGCTCGCATCGCGCCGCACCGCGCGGTTCGCGCCTGCTCGCGCTCCTTCTTCTTTTTTTTTTTTTTTTTTTTTTCCCTCTTTCTCCCCCTTTTTTTTTTTTTTTTTTTTTTTTTTTTTCCCCCCCCCCCCCCCCTTTTTTTTTTTTTTTTTTTTTTTGGAAAGTGCCTCTTCAAACTCACTCGGCTGCCGGCTCCGGGGAGCAGCGGCGGAAGGGTGTTTTTTTAAAGCTACAGGAGCCGTTTGCAGCCGCCCCGCTTTGGTAGCGCCGCGCGTGTGTGTGTGCCTGTGTGTGTGTGTGTGCGTGCGTGTGTATGTTTTGTTTTGCTCCGCTCCAGCATGGGCAGCGCCGGCGGAGCCCCGCGGCCCGGGGTGCCCGCGCTCCCGCTGCCCCCCCGGCCCCGGCTCTGAGGACGGCCAAGCCCCAGCGCGGCGGAGGCAGCGCGGCTCGCTCCGCGCTTTCGCATGGTACACGCGGAGCGGGAGCGCGGGCCGGGCGCGGGGGCTGGCGGCGGGGCGGCTCGGCACAAAGGGAAGGCGGGCGACAATGGGGAGCGCCGCGTATGGAAAACACGGGCGGGCTGTGAATGAAACTCTGGCGCCAGTGAGAGTGGAAGGCTTGGTTTGGGGTAGACTTCAAACCACTCTAGGCTATAGTTTGCATTCCTGCTCCTGCATGCGATGTGGCACACTTCTGCAAAATTAATACATTAGCCTGGCTAATGCTCACCACCATTGGCTGCGCGGAAAATGTGCAGGATCGGGGATTCGGGCTTGACTTTTTTTTCTTGCATTCATCTAAGACATCTCCTTTCTTGTTATGTGGGAATAAGTAAAGGACGCCATGTTGTGCCTTTTTTTTTTTTTTTGGTTGAATTTTTCCTTCGGGCATACAGTGTGTTCAAAAGAAAAAGGCAGAAGTTGAGTGACCGGGTGCGTTGCTCGCTGGTGATTTCCCTGACCATCAGTAGGGAAAAGCATTTGGGTGACGTGAAACTTGCACTAAATAGACTGGAGTCTGCCAGAGAGAGGCGGGTTGCGGGGGGGGAGAGGGGGAGGAAGGAGAAAGCCTTTCTTTTTTTTTTCTTTCCTTTTTTTTTTTTTTTTTTTTTTTTTTTTGGTGGGGGGGGTGGAAGCAGAGCTCCAGAGGGAGTTCCCCCTTTGCTCCCCCCCCTCCAAAAAAAAGTTTTGGGCACGATCTCCTCTGCGTCTCGGTGCAGTGTTCAGTAAAGCAACGTGGAGATGTGTGCAGATGTTTATGGACTTTTAATTTTGGAGCCAGCGAGCCCAGGGCTTGCAGCCCCTCAGCCCCGCTTTGTGTGGGCAGGGAGCACGGCGGAGGCAAGTTGTCGGGGGTGGCTGTGGGGGCAGAGCCGGGCGGCCGCCGGCCCTGCGCAGCCAGACAAAGGTAATTGCCCAGCGTGGCCGTGCCCTCGGGCAGCGCCGGGCGCAGCCCGGGCACGCAGCGCTGCCCTGCGCCCACCGCAGTGCCCAGCATGGGCGGTCGGGGGGTGCAGGGGGTGGGTGCACCCCGCTGGCTGTGCTGGTGCAGAAATGGAGGTCCCCGGGGAGGAGGAGCGGGGGTGCAGCCGGGCCCGGGTGCTGCGGCCCCAGCCCGCGCCCCGGGAGAGCAGCTCCACGGCAGGTCCGTAAACCTGCCGTTTTCATTTCGCGTCTTAAATGTGCATGAAGGAATTAAACTGCACGAGTGAATAACAGCATTAGTTTCAATTAATTTTTATCCTGGCAACAATAAACTTTAGAAACAAAGCGCTTTTACATCCTTAATTAGTCTTGCTTCCCATCTGTAGTCTTTTAAGTGCCTGCTCCTTGATTTAACTTTGTCCCTCCTTCAGAGCCGCCTCCTTTTTTATTATTTTCCTTTTTTTTCGTCCCCCTTCCAGACTGCTGTCTGTTTCTTTCCTGCAACCTTTCACCTCCCTTGTCCCTATCTGTCTGCTCTGCTCTGTGCAGTTTATTTCTCCTGTATTTTCCCAACATCAACAGCAGTATTGGTTACCATGGCCCCAAGCTATGTGCAGAGGTGGGAAAGCTTCATCCGCCCAAAACTTCTTACACTTTTGAAGTCTTTCTTTTAGTAGGATCTGAAATGTATCATCTAGAGTGTGTATTAAATGAACAGTATTCCTGAAGGCTTTAGAGCAAGAAAGGCAACACCCTGGAAAATTCTGCAGTCTTTCAGCATTCTCTGCCCTAGGGTTATAGCCCTGGGCACGGAGCTGAATGGAGCTCTTACAACTGCCTTCTGTTTACCTTTTATGGTTAAAATAACAGCTTAGCAAAGAAGCAACTTCATGGAGAAACGATTCAGTGAAATCATCTCAAGCTGTAGCAGCATAGCTAGTTTAATCACCCCTAGAGAGCTGAACAACTGTGAGCACAATGGGACACAAAATCATTTTGTGTGTAAATGAGCATGGCATTGTGATTATTTCACTTTGCATGGGCAAATAGTTTTTACAAGCAGTTAGCTTAGGAAGGCAGAAAAAGATAAGCTGGCTCTGAAAGATCTTGGTGTGTAATGTTTGAAAAACTAAATATTCACATAATTTGGGAATCAGGCTCTATTGATTTTGCCTTCAGCAGGTTCCTGTGTTACTTATTAGAGCAGGGTTATTGCCTGTGCCACTAGTTGGGGTGCTGTATCCTGTTGTAGGCAACTAAAGAGCAAGGATTATTTTACATGGTTTAATAAATGAAGTTTGTTAGTGTTTCTGCGATATTTACCCTTAAGGTTTTAATTTTCTCATCCATATTAGAAAATATGTGCATAAAGACTTCCACTGGATAAATACATTTAGGATTTTGCTTTGTGCATAAAATAAGTACATTACTCAGTGTGATGAATTTTTGCTGTGTGTTACATTGAGAAGAGGAAGGAGTCATTAGAAATAGGGTTATGGTACCTTAAGAAACAGGGGGTATTTTTTTTGGAGCAGTAGTGCTTAGCCGTCGTGCCTCTTGATAATGAGCTCATACAAAAAGGATTGAATTCCACGATTTTAATAAAAATCTGGAATTCATTTCTTAATATGAATCCTCTCCAGCCAGTGTTTTAATTCCCCTTCTCCTCCTCTCCCCCCAAAAGCCAGTGGCACCCTCAATAAGTATGAAAAGCCATAAAAGTTTGAGAACTATTTTAGCTTTCCAGTGATTTTCTATAATTAAGTGTTTTTTCAACACATGCTCTAGCTGAGAAATGCCAAAAGCAGAGGATTGTTCAAAAGGTCCCTCCAGTGAATAGTATAAATTAAATATCTACTGTGTGAGTATGGCCTCACTGAGAATCTCAGTCTTTACAGATCAAGGAATTTACTGGTATACTAACATTAAACAAAATCCTAAGATAGCAGCAGTGTTTAAATATGCACAAATAGATTCATATCACTTGATCTTTAGCTATCTGTGCATATTTTAAAATTGATGTCTGTATTTCAAGACAAATGGTTAAATGTAAGACACATTTACAGAAGACTGGAAGTCCTTTGATTTCATTTGGAAATTGTAACAAGGGGTGCAGATGAGCCCTAATTAGACTCTTGTTTTGTGAAACTGCGTGAGATTTATTTCTGAGGCAGCCCTGTACCGTGCAAGGTCTGTACTTTTATCATTAGTGAACATGGTTGGGGTCTGAACAAAGACAGGGTTGACATTCAGCCCGGGTCTTCTGACCCTTTCATTTAAGTGAAGGAGTAGAGACTGAACATGAGTTTACAGGGCTCTTTGGTAAGGAAAAAGCCAGCAACCTTTGTCTGGGTTGGCAGACAGATTAGTAAACACGTTGCTAAAATACTGCAGGTACTTACATACTAAGTTGTTTTTTAAGTTAGTTGTTTTATTTATGCTATATGACATAGTTACTGAAGGTTGGCCACAACAAGCTCTTGTGGGAAACAAGAAAGCAACATCTTCAGTCATGAAAGGATTCAGTCACTTTCCTTGAAGGTGGTGCTGTAGTGAAAATGTTAATGCCCAATTTTGCATCGGCTGACACAGGAGTCCTAGGACAGAGCTGGCATTTGCTGCGTGCTCAGTGCAGCTGTCCATCCAGCCTCTGAAGAGACAAGGATGTGGATTCATAATGGGGTGATGTATTCCTGTGCTGTAGATGCAAGAAATGCTTAGGAGCTAACCGAGATGAAATACAGTAAATGGAGATGTTGTGATGACTTTGTGAAGCTGTTCAGATTTGTTAAGATTTTCAGTCACTTTATAGCTTGGGAATTAATTTACAAAGAATGTTGCTGATTTATGTTCATCAAGTGGTGTAGTCGGGCATCTTGTGCAAAATACTGCTAAGAGAAAGGCAAGACCTGCTTTAGATTTCTAAGAAACATTGTCAAAGTAATGTGGGAGAAATAGAAATTCACTTTGCAATGCTGCATGTAAAGTGCTTGTCAGATGGAAGGAAGAGCCAGGGTGCTTGGTAGCATGCTTGAATTACAGAATACCAGGAAAATTAGATTATATTCAGAAATGTCTTTAACTATAATGTTTTGCATATGTTGCTTTCCCCATGAGGGGGAGAATGGATGTACATTTTGTTAAACTTTTCTAGAAGGGTTTTTTTTCTGTTTGACCTGTGTGCCGTCTGCACCGATTGAACTGAAACCAGCTTTGAGACACATTTCATGGAGAATAAACTCTGCTTTTCTTAAGAAAAGGAATTTGCTTTTGCTAGGTTGTCCTGTTCATTTTTAAGACATTTCAGTATTTTTAGCTTTGATTTTGCTGAAAATCTTTTGAGTCAATTCAGTAATTTCACTAATTTTCCAATATTTTTAGGGCAGGAGACATTAGGTGGATTGTGGCATTTATAATTTCACGTGCTAGGTTATTCAGTACTTTCTTGTCCTAAAAGCATGGGTCAGTTTATTTATCTTTCTGTTTTCACTGCTTCCAGGCATTAATTGCTTTCAGTTTGAAATCTTATTAGTTGTTTAGGTCTAATATTAAGGCTTAACTGAAAATTATCCATTTATTTCACAATTATTGAAAATAAGCCAGAAAATTGATCTTAGTTGGAAGTGAAATTTACTAGATGTATAAACTAAATGCCTTAGGTACTGAGGAAGTCACTAATTTCGAGGTGTCTTGTTACTGAGACAAACTTGCAAAAACCCCCTGAATCCCAATTCACAAATTGGTTATTCGTTTGTCAGGGGATATTTCACATCTAACACATAAGCCCACGACCTTTAATTAGAATTTTGCAGTTTGTTTTATGCCCCTTGAGGCTGACACCTTGAAAATTTTTTTCTTGATTTCTTATTGCTAATAAGCATCTTTCTCTTCCCCTCTGGTACTTAGAAGAAAATGATGCAAATACACTTAATTACAGTGGTGGCAATAATTTGTTAGCTGAATATGCGATCAGGCAGATGCAAAACCGATCTGATTAGATCTGTGATCACACTGGAGAGGAAGGTAACACACTGCTACATTTAAGAGAAACTGTTCTTTTTGCCTCCCCGCTGCAGGAGGGAAGAAGCATGTCCCGTCTGTCTCTGACACGCTCCCCGGTTTCTCCTCTGGCTGCTCAAGGAATTCCTCTCCCAGCTCAACTCACCAAGTCCAACGCTCCCGTGCACATCGATGTAGGAGGACACATGTACACCAGCAGCCTGGCTACCCTGACCAAGTACCCAGACTCCAGGTGAGACCTGGCGCTGGCAGCTCGCCGCCTGCTGCTGCTCCCTGCCTGCACCTGTGAGGAGCGTTTCAGTGCCAAGTGCCATTTGTTATATATTCACTGCTTATGAATAATTCACTTTCTGATTTATACAGTAACTTCACTGGGGTTCTGCAGAAAAAAAGGCCTGTACAATTTATATATTATTTAGAGAGTCTATTCATTTTCTCTCTCAACATCTTCCGCGCTCTGCTGATACGTTGAAGCACCTGTTGGTGTGCTGCCCTAGATTATTTCCAGCTATACAAGGAAACTTGTTTCTTTCAGGTTTGGGGGAAAAATTGGTTTTTTCTTCCGCGAGGAGGAAGAATGGTTCTGCTCCTGTGGGACTCATGGATGCTTCTTGGCCAGCCAGAATCTGAGCTCAGTGGTAGCTGTGAGCCTCAGCAGTCAGGGCTCTGGGCAGTGCCTGGCTGACCCGCTCCGGCTGCTGCAGCCACAGGCTGGAGGAAATTCCTGTGAGTTTCTGTGCAGTGCCTTGTGCTGGGCAGGTTGGTGACATGTCTGGCAGGATTTATGTCCATCTGGCCAGCGTTATCTCAGGATAGACTCCAGATCTGCCTGGTTAGGAATAGCTGTGGCGTGAGGTTAAGTTTGTGTATGACACGGGGTCTCTGCAGGGTGCTGGGCACCAGGAGCTGGGGGATGCTGGGCAGAGTGCAGGGCACTGCTCTGAGAGGGTGGGCAGGACACTGAGAGGTGCCTGATGTGGACTTAGAGTTATGGCCACTAAACCAGTGCAGTTTTTACCACTGAGGCAGCTCAGGGTGAGCTCCAGAGGCTGAGTGTGAGTGCAGTGCCCACTGCACTCTTGGCTCCAAAGCAAGCCAAAGCCCGGATTTTGTTGCCACAGGTTTTGCTACCTGCATGGTCAGTATTCCATGAGAGATTTTTTTTTTCTTTTTTGGTATGACAACCAGTGTAAAGTGCTAGTTGCATCTGAACATTTTTCTTTTAAAAGAACTAAGGGGTTTTGCAGATTTGGCAAGTTCCCCAGCAATAAATGACATTTATGGAGACACCTTGAAATGCCTCTAGTATCATAAAGCATATGGCTGGGATTTCATTCCAAGGAAAGGGAGCTGCTGAAAGTCTCTATGGAAAAAAGCCCAATTATTAAAATACCTATATTTTATGATCAGACCAAAACAATATGATTTTTTTGGACGGTGTCTGTTTAATAATGTTTTTGTAGTACTACTTTAATCATAAAGAAATCTGTTTAGTGAAGAGAGATTTATAATAGAGAAGCATACAAATGTTTTGCGGTATTAAAAAATACAGTGAAGATTCAGCAGTTGTAATAGAGTGACACATCTGTTTCCACATTTTAAAATATTGCTGCTATTTTTAATATATGCCCCACATCAAACTTACTTAATAAAAGCTTCAGTTATAGAAGCTTTGGGAGAATATACATAAATTCAGATTTTATTTCAAGAGAATACTGTACTGAACCAAAATTCTCTTTTTTTCTGTGTGATAAGTAACAAAAGCATATTTCTTCAGATTTTGAAAGCACAAAACTGACCAGAGCTTTCTTGCTGCCTGATGTTTTGCTGTGTACTCTCTTTTGTTTATATTGCTATGTTAATTCATGAGGTTTGAATGCTTTTTCAGCTGCTCAAACTTCAGTTCTCACTGCAGTGAGAGCTTCCAACATGAAACCTATAGATGACATCATTTTTGTAGCAAAAGATAAACCTTCACCAGCAGCCCAAGTAGGACATACTGCTTGATACATTATGAAACTGGGTGAAGGCTGTATCTTAATTTATTATCTTTTTTTTTTTAATGTTGGTTTTTTCTGCAGTGCTGCATAGTAGAATTAGTTGTAAGCCCCTCACTGAGTCTGGCCTGCTGGCATTCCTGGCTGAGGCAAAATACCTGCAGTTTCCTCACGGGGATGGTTGGAGCTCCTGGTGCTGCTCCCTGCCCTGGTGTGGATCTCCCATGGGGCACAGGCTGGCATTGCTGTGCTGGGGCAGGAGAGGATTCCCAGGTCTCTCAGGGGGCAGGAGGAGGGAGAAAGCTCTTCTGAGCAAAATACCTGGAAATGATGCCAGAGCTTCTGCCAGAGGTGTAACATCTATGGCCACACGGAGAGGCACGGGCACGCTGCTCCAGCAGAGCTTTCTGGCTTGGTTTGCTCAGCGTGTCAAACTCTTGGTTTGAGTGTGAGTTTAAAAGCTTCAAATCCAAGAAATCACAAAAATCTGTAGATTGTATTTCAGCAAAAGATATAAGCATATGCTGAAATGCTTTGCTAAATCTTAGCTGCAGTCACGTAAAATAGTTTGTGCTCGCTGAAATTGAAAACTGTGAGAATAAACTTCCTTTTTGTGTGTTTTACAATTTCTATTGCTTTCTCTGTGCTCCCAGATCCCAAAGAGCTCCCAGCTTGTAGGCTTCTTAGCATGTACTGTACTTGGATTTTTAAGGACACGTGGATTGTGAGCATGTGTATAAACAGGTGTGCATGCACAGAAACATCACATACGGGTGGGAAAAATAAATCACCAGGTCGTGTTTGAAAACTTCCTCAGTATTTTGAGGAGGTCCTGAGCAAACTCAGTCCCTGCTGACTTCAGTGAGAGGGAGGAGCTGCTGCTGTGACACAGGTGACACCTGGCAGGGAGGTGCTGATCAGAGCAGGGACTTTGCTCTGCCACCCCTGGGAGGGAAGGACCACACGGGGGAAATCTCACTGGGCTTGGTGAATGCTGTTAATGTGAAGCCAGAGGCCAGACCTTGCATTTCAGAGATCCAGGAGTTGCTTCAGAGCAGCTTTGACCCAGTCTTTGATGTTGTTTGTATTAGTGCAGCCCTGTGATCAGGGCATTTGTCCATTGATGAAATTTGCATAAGTAAAGGGTGCCAGATTAGGCATTAAAGGGGGTAGATGTTCTCTTTCCCGGAAATTTTTATTGCCCACATAAATTCTCTTAAGAGGAGAAGATTGAGCAGGCACAACTGGTGTGACCAAGGAGGAGAGGGTTCAACAGCCACTGTCAAAGGGGGTTTCTGAACCACTCACACTCACCCACTACTCTTGCACACCTTTCAGTTGGCTTTTTGAATTAAAACACACACAAGAAAAAAAACTGGCCTTTCAGAGAGTGAAAGGCAAGGGAAATGAGAAACATAAAATGTGATCAACAACAGTATAATGATGCTGGTCTCAGAAATTACGTCACAAATAATATTATTATTCCCATATCCTGCACCTACTTGGGGCCACTTTCTATGCATACCCAAAATTGTCATTGAAGTTGACAAGCTTTGAAGGTACAAGGAGGTTGATGTCTTACCTGGATCTGAGGCTCAATTTCAGGCAGTTTGTTTTCTGCAAATTCTCCTACTTAAACTCCCAATTCTTGTAGTACTGAATTGCAGGGGAAAAAAAACAAACAAAAAAACCCAAAAACAAACCAACCAAACCAAAAAACTCTGTTGAATTCTGGTGACCCTTACCATCAGCACCTTTTTTCTATAATAATTGGCTAGGTAAAGAAATTATTCATCTTCGTAGCATTTGCTCTGGAAATTTCATTCCTGTTTTCACCCAGAGGACCTCTAAAGCAGCCCCTTCACACTTTGACACTTGAATGTGGATTTATATGACAGATTGTAAAGGCTGCAAAACCTCTAGCACATCCACAGAATGAGTTGCAAATTGTATTTATCCAACGGAGTGAGACAGTTTTTCCATTTAGAAAACAAGCCTGCACCAAAAGTTCAAGCTCGTCAGGTGCAGCCAGGAACACCCAAAGGCATTGCCAGATCCCCCAGTCTCATCCCACTGAACTCTGGCAGACATCTCATTGACTTCAAGCAGAAAAGACGTGGAAGCTCCAAATCCCTGTAGACCACAGCAGGCCCCAGCTTCTTGATTTCACTGGAAATTTTGATACCACTTTGAATTTAGAAAGCAGAAGATGTTTTTTTTTGTGTGTGTGTCAGAAGCCTGTCCTTTTCACAGTCCTGAGCAGTGTTTTTATCTCAGGGAATTGCTGTGAGCTCTCCCTGAGCTGTGCTGCTGTACGAGGCAAATCTATTTACCTTCCATTCTTGAACAGTTTGTGTATAACCCTCTGTTCAGGACACTTCCATGTGCTATCAAAGCTGATGTTTTCTGTGGCGTTACAACAAAGGGGAGAGGAATGATTTCTGTGGCAGTGCCACTGTCCAGGTGGGAGCAGTGAGGGTGCAGAGAGCCCAGAGAGCCTCCCCTGGGGGTTTGGGAGCTCTGCTCCCAGCCTTTCCCCCTGGCAGGATGGAGCTCCTAAAACCAGAATACTAGTTTCTCAGTAAATTTACCATTTATTTATTTATTTTATGGGGTGGAGCTCCTAAAACCAGAATACACTTTTTATACCCTTTCTAGTTTCTCAGTGAATTTACCATTTATTTATTTATTTTATGGGCCACATCATTCATTTAAATTTCAACTTCATTTAAACTTTCTTCAAATTGGACTTAGATTAACATATTTAAACATCAAGGGCATACTTGTTAAAATACTTGTACAAATATAGAGTGTATATTATATATATTACCAAAATATGCTTAAGAATACTTAAAAATAACATTACTGACGCTGAATAAAAAATTTATCTTAACAAAAATGGAATAAAACATGAAATCTTAAAATGAATAAGAATTAGACCTGACCCTAAAGAAACTTAAGAACAATCCAACTTAACAGAAAATTGCTCTTAATTGACTCAGTGGATTAAGAAAACATAACATTACAATGAAAATAGCAACATGATAAATTTAAATGGCCAGGGCAGCTGAGCAGTGCAGCCCTTCCCTGGGCACTGGGCTCTGCCACCCCATCTCTGGAGCTGGGCCCTCTAAGGACAGCCAGCACAGGTTTTATTATTTGGTTCAGGAACTAATGACCTCTCTACAAGATAGTGATTTTCCAGTCATATCCCTTCCTCACTTTCCTCTAAACC